GGAGGCTTTCCTCGAGATATTCGCTAGTTTGTGAGTATTGTCATAACATTTCCAATGCAGGCGAATATTTCAATTATTTCTAGGCTGTCTGTTGCTGGTTTGCATGGTGAATGGCGTGTTTTCCTTTGTCGCTACCGTATCCTGGGCGTTGTCAGCTGCATTCATGTTTACACTTGGTGCAGGATGTGGTGGATATATGGCAAGTAAACAGTTTTTAGAAACAGCTTATATGCAGGCATTATTTTGCCGATGCACTTTTACAGGGAACAAAAAAATCTGAACAAATATACTTCGTGTTCACTGTGAGTAGGGCACGTCCTGCCGTTGGGGGAAAATTTAGCGAAGTAGCCCCCCCCCAATAGCTCCTCTAACAGGGCCCTTTCTTCTTCCCCCATCCTTCGCCAACCTACCGTCTGCTAAGTTCTCCAGACTTCCTACAACTTTCCAGAGCTTTCTCCTCAGAATTCCACCACTTCTCTGGAGGGGGGAGGGGTGGCGACGGAGAGGTGGAGGGGCCCATCTTCATGACTACCTTGTTCCTCCCTGGATTTGTGGCTATAGTTGCTACAAATCCAGGGAGGAACAAGGCCGTCATGCGATGGGATGCTGCACACATTCTTCTTCCATTGAAAATGGCAGTGGCCTTATTGAATGCGATGTGGCCTATACAATGACTTGCGGAGGGCCGCCGAGTACAAATCAGTGTTCTTATCCTCCCAGACGAACCTGGTACCAAATAACCGTCCCCGGGCTTGGTTGGCTTGGGCGGGAGCCGATCCGGGATTTGATCCCCGTACGGTGCGCGTGGTAGGAGTGCCATTTGCCACTACACCACCTCCGGCTATCTAAACGCAAGTATGTAATGCTTTAATATAGTAGAAGGGTCCAGTAATGATTTGAAATTCAGTGTACAGGTGTTCAGGTAACCAATCTCGTTTTACTTGTGGAATGTCTCGACCACCACCCTAGTTCAAGACTTCTGGGAGTGTCACTAAACGGATGGAGTTTTTCTATGGTGATTACTTTTGCATGATCCGTAAGATCGGGTCTCAGTCAGGTGAAAGCACTCGACGAGCTCGATTGATTATTGTCTTTCAGGTCTTTGTAGCCCTGCTTGCTCGCTTTACTCAGCATTGGTTCCTTTTTCACCTATTCACGTCAGCGATGCTTTATAGCTTTTTTCCTTTTTTCCGCGCCCTTTTTTTTTGTTAAAAAAAAAAAGTCAACTTTGTTTTATATTTGGCCAAGCATGGCGGCACGCAGAAGAACTTGAAGTGATTTTATTCAAATTCCTGGGCCGCGGCTTCGGCTTGGCGGCGGGGCATTTAAGCTATTTCCACCAAACCGACCGTTACCTCCTGTGGAGACGTGCAAATACTTGTGAAGCAATACGTTAGCATGAGCTTCGTTACTCTTGACAAGCGTGTACGGACAGGTCTACGAAGATGAGACGTGTAATGTAATTAGTTACAGTTAGCCTTGTAGAAACTGGCGATAGTCTAGGGCATGCCCCATCCACTTCACACACCTCTCTCGCTCCCTGAGCCGAATTAGCGCAATTGTGAAAAAAACCTTAAATATATCGATGATGAAGTGTGAGGCAAGGGTTGGAAGTGAGTGATCTATAATTTTGCCCATTTTCTAGCAGATCTGGGTTGTTGAAAGCTGCCGCTGGCTAGCTAGCGTACATCGTAGTGCTGAAGCTCGTTCGATGGCCCTTCGAGTGGTGTCGCATCGGTCTGATGTAGTGGACTCCATGAGAGGTTTTTGAAGCTCATCTATTTTTTTGAGATTGTTTTTGTAATTATCTTATTAATTTAATTTGTAATTAATTATCTTTGAGTTTAGATTGGCAGTGGTGGGAGATATTAGGTTTCTCCGAACCGGCGTTGTCAGTTTCGAATGCCAAAGTTTTGTCAGAGCGGTATTCATACGCAGATCTTTTCAGGTATGGATTAGGATTCTCTTCCAGAGACTTCGATTTTAGAGGCTCCCAGTGTTCCAGGGGTGGTTTGCCGGGATAGAGGAGCCTGTTAGATCACAATTGCTGGTTGAATCAAGTTTTCGAGCGTTTGCCTTGGTTTGCATTCTGCTGGTTCCCTTCGATCATTGTCGGGACCTCCTTTGGATAGCTGTAGGCTTCTATGAAGCTCTGCGAGCTTCGTTGGCTCTCGGCAAGGGTGCAGAGGTCTCACATGGTGGAAGGTAAATTACCAGGAACTAACGAATCAGAAAGATGTCCCCACCAGTCCATACAGCAGGGGCACAAGGTCCCGTCTGAAGCTGCGAAAGGAACAAAACTCTCCCCCGCTTCCGCTGCTTTTGTATAGCACATGTTTTACTCATGTATGTACCAAAAATACGCTGTACGCTCACTTTCGAGGGCCCCGATCCTGGCCATTCGCGCATCGACAAGCTGTACAAAAAGTGCCTTTTTCATCACCGAAAATGCGCCAAAAAAAAGGTTTAAAGGGTTGCATATTTTTTTTCGAACTCCACGCCGCCCACCCAAATGCAAAACCCGCAGACGCAACATGCCACACGGCCAGCATGCGCCTGACTATAGCCAAACTCGCTAATTGTCTGGACCTTCTCTTTTGGCGTTCTTTACACTTAGACGTGATAGGCAGCTTGTCGTTCAAGTTGTTCGCTGCGATACGTCGGCATCGACGCATGGCCGCTCGTTGTGAATACTGGGTGGAGAGTTATAACTTTCGTATCGCGCACTGCGGCGTAAAACAGCAGTTATCAAACAAAAAACAGTCAAAAAACTGGGTGGAGATCAAATGGTATTCACTTTTACTACACCCGTCGTGATTTTCGCTTACAGCTTATCCTTACTGGATGAATACGGAACCACGTGAATAAGTAGGTTTTATACGTAGAATTCAGCAGTATACTGCGGGCGATTTGACCCGAGACAGTTACAAGAAGGGATCGTATTGTTTGCACGGGTGTAATAGTGAATATTGTGATTAGACGATTCAGACTTGTCTCTGAGAAAGTATTTTTCAGACATCCCTCAGTGTACATTCCACTCTTTGCGTTGTGCTACTGTTTCGTTTCGTCTTCAGTAGTGTCTTTCGGGTTTGTTTCTATTTTTTTTTTTTTTCCATTTAAAAAATGCGTGTCGTTCGGATAGCATAATGCATGAAGCGCGAATGCGAATTTCGCATAAAGAGTACGCGCGTAAAATTCCCTTTTTCTGTGGTCTCACGATGTTCTCTATTCGGGTGTCGGGCATCAGAGCGCAGCTACAGCTTCAATACTGTCAGATAGTTTCTAGCTAGTTGACTTGGTAACGTTGAATCGGTTCAGGTCTTGGAGCGAGTGTCGCGCGCAAGACATCA